CCCATGGCAGCTCAGTGTCCAAGTGGGTACCTAGTAAGGGGAACAGGGGCTGTCTCTGACATGAACTCGGTGTTTGGCTCTTTTAACACCTCCCCCTGAGGGGAGGGGTGCAGCCTTGTCAGGCCACAGAGGAAGACAATGCAGCCAGTCCTGATGAGACCTGATAGGCTAGGGTCAGAGGGAAGGGGAGGAGGACCTCCCCTATCAGTGGACTGGGGGAGGGTCATGGGTGGAGAAGTGGTAGGGAGGGAGGACAGGATTGGGAAGGAATGAAGGAGGAGGCTACAGCTGGGATACAAAGTGAATAAACTGTAATTAATAAAAAATAAATTAATTTAAACATTTTTAAAAATACCAAATTAGCTGTCCATGTTTAAAACATTTACACTTTAAAGGACATCACTGGGAAATAAGGATTTCCAAGCCATAAAATGATTTTTAGCAAAACATTTATATGAAAATGGGCATACATCTAGAATATAAAACCAAATCTGACTTACACCCAAATAATCAACAGAAAAAGAACCTAATTTTAAAATAGAGACAAGAGATTTTAAAACCCATCTTTCTAAATAAGATGACAAAATGGCTGATAATCACAGGAAACAGCCCACGACTGTCAGAGAAATTCAAACCATCGGCATCACCTCACACCCACGCCAATACCTACGAACAACATCACAATTAATGACAGATATCAGAGAGGAGCTGCAGAAACTGGAAAAGATAAATCCCACTCCTGTACCCTCACATTCCTGTGCCCTCACACTCCTATATCTACACTCAAGAAATGAAGACACGAGTAACACAGAGACATGCCCCTGAGGACTGAGAGCAAGCAGTGCTCCCAGAAGCCAAATGTGCTATCTGGTGGAGGAAACATCACTCCCCAAGTAAAAGGAAGGAGATGCTGGGATGTGCCACAGCACAGATGAACCTCAAACCATGACATAGGTTTGAGGTTTGGAATCCCAGCACTTAGAAAACGGAGGCAGGAGGATCAGGAATTTGAGTCTAGCCTGAGCTACAAGAGTCAAAAACCCAGAAACAGGACTGAAAGCTGCCTTAGCTTGTAAAGCGTCCACTTTAGAAGCACGCCCTCAATATCCAGAAGCCACGTTTTAAGAAAAAGTTAGGCGTGGAGACATGCAAGCAACTCTCCGTGGCCCGCTGGCCAGCTGGCCTACCCCGAGAGGTGAGTTCCAGTCACTGAGACACCTGTCTCAGAAAACACTGAATGACAGCTGAGGAGTGACACTGACGTTGACTTTGGGGCTCTAAATGCACATGCATACTAATGCATCACACACACACATACACACACACACACACACACACACACACACACACACATCCAAAAACAACAAAACAGAAACATTGTATTAGCGGAAAGAAAGCAGACACAAAGGAGGACACACTGTCTAACAGTCTGATTCTAAAATAACCAAATACATAGAGACAAAGAGGCTGGTGGTTGTTGGGGATGAGGGAGAAGGCAGGGTAATAGCAGGCAGGAGGCTTGCACACCAGGCTAGTGCCCAAGAGCTTGGACTTTCTTCTGAAATAAATGAAACTCTTCTAAAGCCGGCTAGATTTGGGTGACTGGCGACGCCTTAAATTACACTCTTTCAATAAGTGGATCATAGAGCATATTAGTCATCTCGTCACAAAGCTGGTACCAAAAGGAAAACAGAAAGCAGCCTGCTCACGCGGTCCACTACGGGTAACGAGTAGTGAAAACACACCTGAGGAGAAGATAGCTCCCAGGCAAAGGTTCCTGCTTCAGCAGGATGGGCAACCAATGCCACAAAGGTGTGCTCTGGTCTCCCCAAGCAACACACTGTGGCAAGGGCACCCTGGTGCCATACACACACACACACACACACACACACACACACACACACACACTCACTCACATGCACGTGTCCACACACACTCATGCACACACACAGTGGGTGTTGGAAGCCAGCAGCATAGCGAACACAATCAACCAACCGTCAGCACAGAGAGGGAATTCCAAACACTGGCTGACTACTCCATCCTGCCTGCTCCCCTCTCAGGCCTGGTTGGGGTGTGCTTGGGGAAGGCCTCGTTCCCACTATCTGCTGGTCTCCAGGTCAGGAGCCACTAGAGCTGCCACCCAAAAGCATCCCGGCCAGAACCAAGCGCTCAGACGTGACAGAGGGGCGAGGCTGTGCGGTTGCCATGCCAACAGCCCATTCTCTACCACAGGAGCCAAAAGAAGTGGAGACTCAGGAGCTGTATGATTCACAAATTGCAAGGAGCATGTGTGCTTGGACTGAAATAGCCCAGAACCTACTCTAGTTCTGGGCATTGATTCTATAGAAAGAACCCCTGAGGGGCACACATATTTAACAACCACAATGGGTCTGCTAGCACTATTCTGAGCACCTTATTCATTAGGCCTTTAACAACCCAGCAAGAATGGTGTCATCAGCCTCCGAGCACGCTTGACAAGAGTGCGGTCTCGGGGAGATGAGTGAAGCTGCCCAGGGCCACGAGGTTGGTGTGCACTGGAACTGAGTGAGCCCAGAGTCTCTGCTTGTGCGATGGACACGCCGCTACGAGTGTGAGCCGTTAGGTAATACCCATGAGCAGGGAGCCGGCTTTTATTTTAAAGAAGCCAAAAGTGAAATATGGTCTATCCATTTGCTTGACATTGGAGAACAGTGACGTAGGGGAAAAAAAAATTGTTCGGCGATAGAACTAAGAAAAAAGTCAAATCTGTAAGTAAACCAAAGAAGAGAAAGTGACTCCCCAAAAATCTATCCACAGGTACCACTCACAAAATTATGTCTGACTTTAAAATACTCTTAGCCTTGATTTTTATTTTATATGGATTGATGGGTGTTGTGACCTGGTGTATGCGCATGCGCACTGCGTGTGTGCAGTGCCTGGGGAGGAGAGAAAAGGGCGTTGGGTCCCCTGGGGCTGGAATCCAGACGGTTGTAAGCTGCCAGATGGGTGCTGGGAACCGAACCCACGTCCTCTGTGGGGGCAGCCGGGGCTCTAACCACTGAGCCGTGTCTGTGTATGACTTTTTGATCTATCTACATTTTCTCAGTGTTCTGTGGAAGGAGATACAGTCTGGAGAAAAAGACAAAGACAGAGGGCCAGGGCACCTCATGCTGAGACCTGGCCTAAAAACTCCCCCAGCCAAATAGAGACAGAGTGTGATCCGTCTGAGCAGAACAGAGAGAGAAAGGATGAGACTGTTTACATCTCAGCGAAGGACTGTGCTGCTTAGACCCCAGACACTGCACACGTGTGAGCCAAGCACACGTGGGAAGGCTTTGGGACGTTTAATGTGTGCATTCTCACACCCACATGAGTTTGGGCACGAGAGTCCTTTTCTCACAGTGTCTAGAAGGAGCTAGCATGCCCACAACGTTGGCAGCGCCGAGCCCTCAGAGAAGGAGCAGCTGGACGGCTGGCAGAGCCAGACCCAAGTCGAGCAGACGCTGCTGGAGAAAGCACAGAGCCCAGCAACCTCCGGGTGGGTGGCCGCTCACGTTCAAATGAAGGGTGGTGGTAGCTGAGGGAGAGGAGGGGGAACTGTGTGTGTGCTCGGAGGTCCCTGCAGGTGGTTGGACAGCCAAACTCAAGCCTGTCGAGAAAAGCTGTGAGCTTCATCCCTCCTGAGAGCTGGGGTCCCCCCCTCTCCAGGGAGTCTGGCAGGAGGCCTACCATAAACTGGACAATAAGCCATGTGTTGCCTTAATTTAATTTGGTTTTGTGCACGCGCGCGCGCGTGTTTGTGTGTGTGAAATACTAGACCATACAGAAAGAAGAAATGAGGGAAAAAACAAAGAATGGGGACTTCAGGTCTGGGGAGAAGGCTCACTGGGAAAGGGAGCTGGCTGTGCAAGCTAGACAACCTGACTTTAATCCCCAGAACCCACACAGGGGTGAAAAGAGAGAGGTGATGAGAGCTGTCCTCTGAATCCCAGGTGCATGGTGTCACACCCTCATACACACACACACACACACACACACACACACACACACACACGTATGTGTGTTTACATGCGCACAAACAATGGCTGATAAAGTGCAGAGGATTTTTTTAATCAAATAGAATGCCCCATCTCAGCTAAAATTTCTCCTCGCCGCATGCCTAGAAGGCCCTTCCCACCCCACAGCACTTCCTGTCCTTAACTCTTACTTGGCTCAACTGTCACCCGTGTCTTTGACGCTCATTTTCGTCCTTGGTTCTGCTTCCCCCCCTTTAAAAAATAACTAAGACTGTGTGCCCCCATAACCTGCCCGGCGCACAGTGCACCCCGCTGAGAGTCTGTTTCCAACCACCTTTCGCGTTTCTGACACTCTCCTCCCAGGGCCTGGCCAGCCGCTGAGGCAGGAAGACGTGCTGCTCGCTGGCTTTTTACTTCCAGCGCCAGAACCCATCTTGTAACACGCTTGCCAAGCATGCACGCTGGCCTTTCATCAGGCCATCACCCAGCTCATGGGGGTCGGATGCCCTCTCACCCGAGTCTTTCTCTACAGGGTTAACATACGTGCCAGGAGAGGCGTGGTCTGCCAGTTGTGTGACTCCCTTCCCGAGCCCTCGGTCCAAGGAGTGGCGGAGGGAAGCCAAACAATACGTGCCATCCACAGTCTCTAGTGTGCAACTGTGTGTAGGCGCTCAGTTATTCCAGTATCAGTTCTCAGATTTACCCACGGACCTGCTCTAACCACGAAGGAACACCCCTGTGATGAACCACTGAAAGGTAGGTATTAAATACAGATGCATGCTGTGAGGTGTGCGTGCGCATGCACACACACATACACACACACACACACACACACACACACACACGTATATGAGCTCACAGAGGGTTCCAGTCTCAGAATCAGCAGACGGAGAGCCGGCAGGGAGAGTCAGAACTCAGGGGGTGCTGTGTCCATGCCTCTGTTCTCAGCCCCTGGTGAAGCCCACCCTTGGGTTCCACCCGAACGGGCACAGGGAGGGTGAGTACCTTCGGAGCTCATTCATAACCTTGAAGGCCTTCCCCATGTGCGCAGGGTTGACCGTGACGGTCTTCTGGTTCTTCTCGGCTTCCTCGGCCTGCACCGTGGGTGGAGGAGGGCTTGGCTTGACACTGTGCACGGGGAAAAGGAAGAGAAAGAGAGATGGAGCATTAGGGACCTCAGCGGTACACCTTCCACGCATGCCCTTGAGAGCATCTCTGTCAGCCCGTTCCCTTCACCTGGGACGCAGCAGCAAAGGACATCCTGTGCCAGCAAAGGAAGTGGCTCCAGTGCCCTGACACTCACTGTGAAGGGATGTTGGCTCCCTTAGCATGTAATGGGGCTAACACCTGGCAGGTATGGTGTTTCATTTAACGTGACCATAGGCAAAGGAAGTCCCCAGTCTCTCTCATCACAAAAGTCAGGGGTCAGAGAAGGAGAAAGCCAAGTATCACTGGAGCACCGTGTTTTACGAATTACGATTCCACAGGAGCTATGCCACAAGGGATGTATTTAGTGACATTGCAGTAGAGAAAGGCCTTCCAGAAGAAGAGGGCTGGCAAACATCGTCCTGAGCAACAGGAACAGCAGGCACAGGGGGAAAGCACCCACAGTCAGGGAGCCTAGAGGACACCCCGGGGAAGATATTAGCCGGGGGGACTGTGCCCCTGGACCAGCGAGGGAGCAGCAACAGGCTTTAAACACAAAGCAGATGACCACATCTATAATCCAGAAGAGCCATGGTGGTAAGAGCTTGGAGAACAGGGACCCATGTGTGAAAGCTTCTAGGAAGCCATAACTCAACTGGTGGATAGAAGGTGGGGCTGGAGACATGGCTCCAAAGCTAAGAGACCTGGCTGCTCTTGCAGAGGACCTGAGTTCAATTCCTGGCACCCACGAGGTGGCTCACAGCTGCTGTAACTACAGTTCTAGAGGACCCAAGCCCTCTTCTGGGCTCCATGGGCAACACACACATACATGGTACACAGACATGCATGCAGGCTAAACACCCACCTACATAAAATAAAGGTAAGAATTTAAAACAAAAATAGGAGTCTGCAGTTGTTATGGGAAACACAGGCTACGTGGCCTATGTGAACACACGCACCCTGCTACCCACTGTCTCAACACTTGTTTGCACTGAAATCACGCTATAAAACTTTTGAATATGGTGCCACATCATGGGAGGAGGAAAGGAAGTTCTGCTCAGATCTGAGTGCCAAGGTCAGATCTAGAACCCTGAAGAGAACTGTTAGGCCAGACTCCACTTCATGAGCGGGGAAACAGCAACGTTCCCATTGGTGCACAGTTGAGGACCTACAGTCTATCCCATCTGGGCCTTGAAGGTGGTCTCCCCAGTCAAGTGTCCTCCATCTGTTGCCACCTCACCCTGCAAACTGCTGAGGACAATGATGCTTTATTAAGGGAATGTCCTGAAGACCTGGGGGTCTTTAGAGACGCCACAGTGGGACTCACCACTATCAGAAATGCCACACCCAGAGTTTGTCTGACCATAACATGCCTCCCCTTTGGTCCCCTTACCTACCTTCACTTCAGCATGCCAATGAGCTCTGGGGATGTGTGGAGTCCTTGCACAAGGAAGAACGGTAACAGAGGAAGATAAATACCAAGATGCCCAAAGATGATTAGAATTATGTATTCAAGGCTGCTCTTTCAGGGAACCTGGGCTTGGTTCCCTGCACCCACATGACAGGCATCTGTAACTCAAACCCAAAAGATCTGACACCCTCTTCTAGCCTGTGCCGGTATCCAGGCACACATGTGGTACACAGACACACATGCATGAAAAACACTCATATACATAAAAATATATACAAATAAATAATCTCTGTAGTGAGAACTTTGGATTCTTTACAAACACAGAAATGCTTTGGGAATGTGTTTTTGTTTCAATCCCAGGTGTGGGATATGGGGCTGCTTCAGACTGTCCACAGAGCTGACTGTGATTTGCCTCATGCTCTAGCAGCAGTGTGATTTTGCCAGCTGAAGACAGTTTACGTTTGGAATTCTGGGGACTCTTGAGAGGGTATATAAATGCCAGAGCCCCAAAAGAGGCAGCGTTTGCTTCTGCTCCTGCTGCTGTTTGTTCTTGTTTGCCTTCACTAATTAGATACTGAATTTTATTTCACAGTGTCAAACAGAAATTCAAATTTTCCTATGGGTTTTTGATTTACTGATTCTTATTTTTCCCATTCCCTATCATGCCACCTAGTTCACAAAGATTCAAATACATAGAGATCCTTTTTGCACTCTCTAGCCAGTTGCAAAAGTCGGTTTATACAAATAACACATAATTTCTGTAGTTTTGTCATGTCTAATTCCTGACAGGTTAAGTCATGAAGCCTTTGATCATTCTTGAGGAATGCCCTGTGTATTCTATCTATGCCCTTTATTCTTCCTACAAATTTTAGGATCAGCTTGTCAAGTTCCATGAAAAACTCTGAGAGGCTTTTAATAGAAACTGCATTGAATTTATAGATCAATTTATATTGAATCAATACTTTTTCAATTATTTCTATCTATAAACATGGCTTATCCTCAATTTGCTTAGGTCCTTTAAAATGTTTTAGTGTGTGTGTGTGTGTGTGTGTGTGTGTGTGTGTGTGTGTGTGTGTGTACACGCGCACCTGAGTGTGCATATGCACAGCACATGTATACAGGAGCCCACAGAGGCCAGAAGAGGGTTCCAGACCCCCAAGCCAATGTTACAGGTAGGTGCTCACAAGCTGCTGTGTGAGTTCCAGCTGAACTCCAGGCCTCCCCCAGAGCAGGAAATGCTCCTAACTACTGAGCCATCGCTGCAGCTCCACAGGTCCTTCCCAGCGTCACTCACGCTTCCGAGGATTTCTGTCTGAAGATCTTAGATACATTTGTTATGATCTTTCCCTAGGCATATTACTGCCTTTCTTGTTATTCTATAATAGAAACTGTTCTTTTAAAGGTGTATGCGGTGACTGTTGCAGTTTAGGCAGTGCAATTACATTTACCGACTGAGCATCTAGCCAGCTCCATAGCAAATGCTCTTACTGTATCAAATTATTTGACCGTTGATTCAATTGAATGTTCTTTGTATATAATGCCAGAGATGATATTCTCCCCCCCCCCGTGGGTGTGGGTATGTACCAGGTAGTTTTCATATGTATGATCCTCCTGCCTCAACTTCCTGAGGAGCTGGGGTGATAGGCCTATGCCATCAAGCCTAGCTATTTTTTTTTAATTATCTTATGCTTATGGGAATTTGTCTGCACGTAAGTCTACGTAGCACAGGTGTGCATCTGTGTCCACAGGCAATCCGTGCAGCACAGGTGTGCTCCTGGTACCTGTGGAGGCAGAAGAGGACAGTTTTCCCTCAGAACTGAAGTTACAGAATGGTTGTGAAGCCGCTCAGGTGCTGGGGCTCAGAACCCAGGTCCTCCAGAAGAGTACCCGGGGGGCTGAGCCTCCCCTCCAGCCCATTGGGTTTCTTTTTTAACTTTGAAGACATAATTCTAATCATCCTCGTGCACGTCTTTACTGAGAAGACATTTGCGCTGGCTGAGAAGACAAAATAATGCCAAAGAGAAAAAGTAATCGTAAACATTCCTGTTGTAGCCCCAATTTCAAAGATATTCTAATGTTTCCAATTTCATGAAATTTCAATTTCATTTATTACAGGATTTTGTTAATGCGTTTGATAGAGTTAAGAAAACACTCAAGTTGGGTGTGGTGGCACATGTCCACAGACCCATCATGTGGCCAAAGCAAGAGGATTGTGAGTTCAAAGTCAGCCCGGGCTACATAGTGAGAGCCAAGACAGCCTGGACTAGAGAGGGACACCCTGACTCAAAACTGAGCAGAGAGAGGAGAGGACAATGGGGAGGAGGGAGAAGAGTCGACAGGGAGGAGAGGAGAGAGGAGGGAAGGATTCGCTTGTATTTTTATTTAGTTTTTTAAATCATATTTATGCTGCATGTTACCAAATAATCTTACATATATAATAAAATGATATGTATATTTTTTCTTTAATATTTCAGTGTGGATTATATATTAATATAGAACCCTATTTGTGCTCCTGAAAATAAATATCAAAACTATAAAATAGTGCACAAATACCCATTTTAAATATTGTTTTCACACTATGGAGATACTTAAGAGCCAGCATAAGAAGAGCTAAAATGAGGCTGGAGAGATGGGTTAGGGGCACTGGCTGTTCTTCCAGAGGACCTGGGTTCAATTCCCAGCACCCACATGACAGTAACTCCTGTCACAACTGTAATTCCAGTTCTAGGTGATCTGACCCTCTCACATAGACATACACACATACCAATGTATGTGAAATAAAAATAATTTTTTAAAAAGAGCTAATATGGAAATAACCAAGGAACTACTGAAGGTCCTAGACAGGAAACTCATAAATTAGAGCTCAGGACACCTGCTAGCTCCCCTTCACAAACATGCGTGAAGTATGGAGCAAATGGAGTGTCCTGGAGGAGCTGACACGCTCTGTGCAGTGACCGCCTCTTCTGCTTTCCAGCCTTCCAAACGGCCCAGGAATAATACCGGTGCCTGTTCATGCAACTGTTTACAAAGGGGTCTCAAATGTGGTCTGTCTATAAAGTACAACAAAGTATGACTCACACTGGTACCTCCCTGAAAGAACAATGACTTGCTGATGTCCCTGGAGCACCCCAAACCCTTTCCTCCCTGATGCAGGGGTCATCCTTGACACGAGCAGGAACTCCAAGCACCTCCTCTCCTGCCTCCAATAACTCCATAAAGACAGAGCCGATCTAAAGCGGCTCTTGACCTCTGGCTTCTCGGCGATGAAAGCTCCTTAGTGACTTGCCCATCATTCAGGGAGAAGGACATTAAAGAAAGAGTGCCCATGGGCTTAGAGATGCGTACAGAGAATCTCTTGTATACTATACGGAAGCATCGCCTGTCAACAGAAAGCTGATGGCCTGTTAGCTGAAACAGGAGAGAGGAGGTGGGAAGTGCAGCAGAGAGAGAGGTGAATTCTGGGAGAGAGTCAGTGGAGAGATTCGCCCCAGATTCTGAGGAAGACGACTGTATGAAACCAAAGAGGGCTGGAGAGGTGGCGCAGCAGGTAACAGCACAGGCCGCTCTTCCA